GGGCAGAAGTAGCCTCCAGATGTGGGTGGGGAATTGCTTCTGTCCCATCTCCACCTTCTCCTGGGTTTTCCATCCCCTCCACTCCTTTCCAAGGCTCCCCCCCAGCCCCATCGCCTCCCCCTTGAGACCCCCAGTGCCCCTCACACCCTGCCCTGACCCCCTCCTCTCCGGCAGGCCGCGGGCTGAAGTCTCACGCCTACATCCACAGCGTCCAGTTCAGCCACCACGTTTTCCTCAACCTCCACACCCTCAAGTTTTACTGCCTCCCCGATAACTACGAGATCATCGACTCCTCGCTGGAGGACATCACGGTGCGGTGGGGGGGCTGAGCCACCTCAGGGGGTTCAGCTTCGTGTCTCCCTGCCTTTTCCTGACGCCGTTTCTCTCCCACAGTACGTGCTGAAGCCCACCTTCACTGCGCAGCAGATCACCAACCTGGACAAGCAGGCCAAGCTCTCGCGTGCCTACGACGGCACCACGTACCTGCCCGGCATCGTGGGGCTCAACAACATCAAAGCCAATGACTACGCCAATGCCGTCCTCCAGGTATCACCGGGGGCCTTCATTTTTGGGGTGAAAGACCCCAAAACCCCCTCCCTGTGTCTGTCAGGGATGCTTCCTGGTTCCTTCCTTGCAGGCTTTATCCAACGTCCCGCCGTTGAGGAATTATTTTTTGGAGGAGGAGAACTACAAGAGCATCCAGCGCCCGCCCGGGGACATCATGTTCCTGCTGGTGCAGCGTTTCGGGGAGCTGATGCGGAAGCTGTGGAACCCTCGGAACTTCAAAGCGCATGTCTCGCCCCACGAGATGCTGCAGGCCGTGGTGCTCTGCAGCAAGAAGAACTTCCAGATCACCAAGCAAGGTGAGGAGCAGCGTGGGATGGGGAGGCACTGGATACGGCCCCCGCTTGGTTCTGACTTACTCTCTGGTTTGCAGGGGACGGGGTGGACTTCCTCTCCTGGTTCCTGAACGCACTGCACTCAGCCCTGGGTGGCACAAAGAAGAAGAAGAAGAGTGAGCAGAGGACAATGAAGGCCCCTTATTCCCTTGGCACACCCCCTCAGGTGATGCTTGTCACCCCCAGTGCCGCCCCCAACACATTTCTGTCCCGCAGCCATCGTCACTGACGTCTTCCAGGGCTCCATGCGCATCTTCACCAAGAAACTGCCTCACCCAGATCTGGTGAGTACACAGAGGGCCAAAGAGTTCTGGCCCCCGTGGGGGTCTACAAGCCACCCCCTGAGCCCTGTGTCCCACAGCCGGCCGAGGAGAAGGCGCAGCTGCTGCAGAACTCCGAGTACCAGGAGATGATGGTGGAATCCACCTTCATGTACCTGACGTTGGATCTTCCCACCGCCCCGCTCTACAAGGACGAGAAGGAGCAGCTTATCATCCCCCAGGTCCCTCTCTTCAGCATCTTGGCTAAATTTAACGGTGCCACCGAGAAGGAGTACAAGACGTACAAGGAGAACTTTCTCAAGCGCTTCCAGCTCACCAAGCTACCTCCCTACCTCATCTTCTGCATCAAGCGCTTCACCAAAAACAACTTCTTCGTGGAGAAGAACCCCACCATTGTCAACTTCCCCATCACGTGAGTGACGAGGAACCCCCGGGCAGGTGCTTAGGGTCTCCATGTCCCTCTCCTGCGCCATGTTGGGGGTTTGGAACCATCCGGGAGGGGTTGGAAGCATCTGGGGCCATTTGAAAGCATCTAGGAGGGGTTTGGAAGTGTCTAGGAGGGGTTTGGAAGCAGCCAGAGGAGTTTGGAAGCATGCAGGAGGGGTTTGGAAGTGTCTATGAGTTGTTTCAAAGCATCTAGGAGGGCTCTGGAAGCATCTAGGAGGGGTTTCGAAGCATCTGGGGCCATTTGATAGCATCTAGAAGGGGGTTAGAAGCATCTGTGAGGGATTTGGAAGTGTCTAGGGGGTGTTTAGAAGCATCCGGAAGGGGCTTGGAAGCATCTGGGGCTATTTGAAAGAGTCTGGGTGGGGTTTGGAAGCATCTAGAAGGGGTTTGAAAGCATCTAGAAGGGGGTTGGAAGCATCTAGAAGGGGGTTGGAAGTGACTGTGAGGGGTTTGAAAGCATCCAGGAGAGGTTTGGAAGAATCTAGGTGGGGGTTGGAAGAATCTAAGGAGGGGTGGAAGCCTCTAGAGGGGTTGTGGGTGGTGCAGGGGTTCTTCTGGGGTTTGGGTGCTGGTGACACCCAGCTGAGGGGTGTCGGGTGCTCCGGGGGGGTCCCGCAGGAACGTGGACCTGCGGGAGTACCTGTCGGAGGAGGTGCAGGCGGCGCACACCAACACCACCTACGACCTCATCGCCAACATCGTGC